TTTTAAACTATACCCAAAAATACATATTAAAAAAACCTATAAATTATTTGGATTTGCCTTAATGAAGAATCATATATATTCTTTAAATTTTTTATTGCATATACAAATAACAAAGATTTAACTTGTGAATCGTTTTCCCTCGTTTTTAAAGTTAAGATTTGAAATTTTCAAATTGAGATCTGATTCAAGGGTGGTTCAATAAATTTTTAATACAAATGCACAATCTAACACACTATTCCACCACATAAACGTATTTAAAAAGTCAGGTGGTTTCTTAATTAAGATTCACTAGTCACGTTTTCAAAGAATAGAGCAATATATTATTTTTTGTAAAGGTGTTGCAATGAAGAAAATTTTGATATATATATATATATATATAAATACACGAAATTTTGTTTTTGTATATAAATATAAAAAAGGCCTTTAAATGAATGGTTTAATTGATTAAAAATTTAAGATTTCAAATTAGAAATTTTATATTTAAACCTTGAGCCAAGTAACAGATTATTAAATATGTTAAAAAAATATAAATGTAAAAGAGATTTACATATAACTCTTTCTCTCTCAAATCTTTTTTCATTTGTTTATCACATTTTCACACCATTTTCCCTGCAAAGGTTATTGCTACCATAACATTTATTAAGACTATTAGATATTGTCAAATTTTTATCTTAATTTAATTATTAAAAATAATTAATAACTAATAAAATAATTAATATTTATTATTTAACAAATTAAAATTACTCCATAAAATAAATATTTTCAAGTATCATAACTAACTGATTAAAAAAACTATAAATTAATAAAATTAATAAAATTACACTAAAATTAGTGGTCTTAACAAAAATCACACTAAAATTGCCTCATCTCATTTTCCCTTTTCCTTTCCTTTTTTTTTTTCCCCTTTGCGTGGTAATTAAGAATAGTAAGAACATAACAAATGATTTTTGTGGACGCGTTATAATTAAGAAGATTTTGAGGTATTATTTAATGAATCTTCTGGCTTATTATGGGATATTTTTTTGTCATTTTAAATTCCGTAAAGATATTTTTTAAGTCCAGAAAAAACTCTAGAAAGCTTTTCTAATATAATTTTGACAGCAAAGATGTCCAGTTATTTATATCCTACTCAATCACAACCAACTATAACTTTAAGGGCAGCTTTTTGATGTTGTAGTATACGACTTTATAAAGAATGTTTTGTGCAAGTCTTAAAGATATAAAAAATATACTTTCTTTTTTTTTTTCCAATTTACCCTCATCATGTTCTCTTGTTTTAGTTTTCTTAACGCAATTCATCATCAACGTGCTTCCTTCCTATGCGGCTACGTATCTCGAAGATGATTAACAAATATGATATTAAATTATAACTAGTTTAGTGATGGAAAT